GGAAGACGGTAGCAGAGTGGAACACATGGCAGGCAGAAGCTGCCTGTGGAGGAACCCTTTGATTGCCGAAAAGGCATTCTGAGCTTCTTCACTGCCTAATCTTCAAATAAATGGCTCTGCTTTAGGGGCATGAAAAATCCACAAAAGAAAACAAAAAGCTCTGTGTCTTTGCTCACCATTCTCACCTGCCTCCTTTGATGATGCAGTAAAAGTGAGGAGAACTTGCGGGGACCAGGAGCCTAACACTACACAAGGCTGCTTATAACATTTGCTAACATTACCCATTCTATCATCACCCTAGACGGCCTCGGCCCAGTATACCTGAAGGAGTGTCTCCACCCCCATTGTTCAGCCCAGACACTGAGGTGCAGCACCGAGGGCCTTCTGGCGGTTCCCTTGCTGTGAGGGAACTAGGCAGAGGGCCTTCTCGGTAGTGGCGCCCACCCTGTGGAATACCCTCCCATCAGATGTCAAGGAAATAAACAACTATCTGATTCTTAGAAGACATCTGAAGGCAGCTCTGTTTAGGGAAATTTTTTAATATTTGATATTTTGTCTTATGTTAAATATTCTGTGTGAGCTGTGGGATAATAATAATAATAATAATAATAATAATAATAATAATTTGCCCAAGTTATTCAGGTTCAGATGAGAGAGGTTTGCCCATTTATTTTGGCCAAAAGACAACAGGCACCAACTAAATCCTTCTATCTCTGCAAGAATTTCTGCTTATGCAACAGGAATTTCTCACATCCCCTCTCCTAGCATGCGTCCTCCAAATCTGTTCCTGCAGGTTGGGGGAACCACCAGAACTGATTTATCGAGGCCTGGGGCGGGTATTGAGACGTCCCATTGCACAAGAGGGAATCCTTGTGCTCATCGGAGATGTTACTTAGCATATTCCTTTGAATACAACCCTCAGTCTTTAAATAATAATAAAAAACCAAATATTTTTCATGGAAAAATCCAAACCTCAGCCAGCCAATCCTACTGATGGCTACATTAGTGATATGCCATGCTTGTTTATAGCTATTTTTTGGACTTGCCTCAAAGTCACAATGTCTTTGGCCTCTATAATAACAGAAATGAAAACTGAAGTATTATACCAATGGGCCCACTGGTTATTCTGTTGGGTTATGCAAAAAGTGCAATATTCCCAGATGGCAGAGTAGTAGTGATACATATAAGTATAGTTATAAATGGGAGGTTAACCTAACATCTATCGATAAATGCCTTTAAAGATTATAAGATATGATCAGGCCTACAAACATAATTAGTGTTAGAGGGGGATATAGAAAATAATCAATTTATAGAGAAATTGAAACTTTTTTATTCATTCTAGGAATAATGAAGTTTAGGATTCAGTTCATTCCTACTCCTAAACCTAACTGAGCCTGTGATCATTTATCTGTCATTTCTTTCAGTTTTATTCAATTTATTCATCACTTTGCCTCCCACATTGACAATATTTTTTTCTACTTTTCTGTTGAAATGAGGAGTCTGGCCATTTTTTCTTCCTCCAGTTTATATATATTGTTTTTGTTTGTCCATGAATGAAAAGAAAGAAACAAAATTGGGGGTGCAGGTGAGGAAGAGAACGATTTGTCGTGGCGTGGAAAATTCAGAAATCCAGTCAACCAGTCCTATTGATTGCCATGATAGTAGTCTGTCAAGGCTGTTTGTGGTTAAGAAGCGTGCTGCTGTTCCCATTTGAGTACCGTTGAAGCAGTCATTCGTTGAATAAAGATTAACCCCCATCTGCTCTTGTTTTCATCGCTGAGCACACTTCGAAATTCTACACCCACTCTTGGCTGCTCCATAGCGAGCCCCAGAGAACAAACACTGAGCTACAGCAGCACATCTAGGCCCTACTGGTACCAGAGGGGTTTACGGTCTACTTTCAATGCCTTCTGCTTCATAGCTACAAAGGCTGTGATGTTATTACTGATTCGTTTTGTTAGATGTAGGGAAAGCCTTTCTGGTTGGCTAGCTGTAAAAAGTTGGTTTCCTTCGGAAAAATGCAAGAGCTCTGAAAATAAAAATTAAAAAGTCTAATGGTGGGTTAAATTTGTTAAACATTCCTTGAAGACCAGCCAGTTCTTTTTCACCCTTATATCCCAGCCACCATACCAACCATTGTCTTTGTACAAACGCCCCAATTTCCTGTCTACATTTCTGGTTGCAAATCAGCTGTCTAAAGCACCTGGCTGCTATTCTTTAAAATGAGGAGCTGCGATTGGTTCAGTTGTTTTTAGATGTAAAACCAGAGTCAGATATATTGGGGGAGCGGGGGAAAGGCCTTCTTGATCCCTAATTTTCTACTTCCACAATATAAGGGACGTTTCTGGAATGAGGCACACACACAAAAACAGACACAACACTTAATTAGCCGGATCTTTGTCGGGGAAGAATAAGTCGTGACAAGAAACTGCTCTTGGACAGTAGAATAAAATGTGTGTGGTAAACCATCATCCAAGGCTGCAAAAAGTAAAAGATTTTATATATAGGCTATATATTTATATAGCCTATATTTAAGAAAATCCTGCATATATTCTTTGAGTTTGTACTCTTTTATTTGGTGAAGTTACACATTTTCAGTATTAGGCTATGATTTATTACTGATTTATCTGCTGACTCTCAGGAGGCATGCTGTTCCTTTCTGCTTTGGCAAGAGTCAGTGGGAGGGTGGCATGTTTATCAGAGCTGGTAGCAGTGAATGTGGAAATAGTGTAGTGTGACCTGACCAGTCTATAGGTACTGCTGGCTGTGGAACCCAAATGTGTTATGACGCAGGATTTGGGGAAGAAGGAACAGAGATAGCAAGTGGAGAGAGGGAAGGAAGTAGAAGCTTGGAAGAAAAGGCTCCTCCAGACAACCTGCTCATTGTGCATACATTCTATTTTCTATGTTTCTAAATCTCCCTATTTTCCAGGGAGATCCATGATTTAGAGAAGCCAACCCAGTTTCTGACTTGATCCCAGAATGTCCCTATTATTATTATTATTATTATTATTATTATTATACCGCCTTATACCCGGAGGTCTCAGGGCGGTTCACAGAACAAAATCAAAATATAAAACCACAAAATATATAATCAAAATAAAAATGACAACCCAATAATCCCTCCCCCCCCAAAAAAAACCCCTCCACATTTTAATAGGGCATACAATGTCAATCAAATCGACAACAGGCCTGGTTAAAAAGGAACGTCATTCTGCTTTATTCATTATCCTGCAGTGTTTCCCCAGTGTTACCACATCACTGCGGTCTGGAGGAGCTCCTCCTGCCCCCAGACACTTGTGGTATCAAAAGTTACAGAATTTCAGCAGGAAGCTACAGGACATGCACTGCTTGGAAACAAAGCAGCTTGTTTGCCCTGAATGTCTGCAGGCACAAACATTATTGAAAGTGGGGTCCCCTGTAACTGCTCTGATACCATCATGAGCACAAATAAGCATGAAAACACAATAAAAAGGGCATCTGGGGCGGTCATGTCTTGAGCACTCATTCTGATTTGTTTGCAGGGAGGTTACTGTATTTGCATATATTGTTGTACACTGCCTTGATGTTTTAATATGAGTGGGTGGTACGTAAATTTTGTTATAGATAAAATCAAATAAATACTAACATTTGTCCTAATTTATTTGAGTGGTTAATCACTTGCTTATCCCACACTTTTCAGTGCATTTTCCCGTCACTTTCCAAACCTCAAAAAAACAAGCCTGCTATGTTTTTTTGTTTTTTGTTTTAAGATGTGGGTCTGTTGCAACAGACGACTTTAATCAGAAAAGGCTTACTTGCAACTGCTTCCCGACTGGTGCATCACTGCTGCTTATGGAGAGGAGGATGAGGAGCAATGCAGAAGGGAGATTCATATGGTACAAATGCATTGGCAGACCCAAACCAGCACCACTGCTGGTGTGGTTGCCCTGCACGTATTTCTCTACTGCCTCCCCTCTCCCCTTCTCCCTCCTGTTAAGCAACAGCAACTCCCCTGATGGGAACATAGCAGCTCTGCCCCATTTGGCAAGCCACTTCCGGCTTTAATCCACTTTAGTGGTGTGCACCTAACTTTCTAGTATGCACTTGAACCCTTCCCATAAAACACTGTGAGTCTGGAGTCAGCCAAAGAACAGTGGGGATGGAAGGTGGCCTGATACCTGCTCATAAAACCAGCTTTAGTTCATTCTAATGGCCGTATTTCCACACACTTTCCCACCATTTGGTTTCAGGACTACTCTAGATTTTCAGCTCTCTGAATCAACAGTGGGGCTTTCTTTGTCCTTGAATTTGTTCTTGCGAGCAGTAGCTAGTAATATGTTCGTGTCTATCAAAGCACCCACATGTCTGCAGTCCCTGTGGTGATGTTCACTCAGAGCCCATCCCCATTCACGGAGACTTTTTAAAAACATCATTAAAAAGTTAGTACTTGAGCTAATGTTTGTTCTCTCGTTGATGTTGTTTTTTACTTTTTAGTTCAAGGCTCGTTTATTTTATGAAGGGATTATGCACAAAGAATAAGCCAAAAACAAATTCACTGGCACAAACCTTCGTTAATGCACAGAGTTAAAAGTAAACCTCAAACTAAATGCTACAAAGATGCAAAAAAACAAAGACAAGCTAGTCCTAATATTAACATCCAATCAGGGCAACTTAATTCTTTGGTTAAGCTGCTGGCTTTAAGAGTACAACAGGTGGAAGAGTTAAACTGTAAGTTCCAATGCCTAGAGAGAAGAGACTTTCAGAAGTACACAATCCATATATATATATGCCTTGTTTACTATACCTGCTAATTCCTTTTCTCTACCGCATCAAATAGTCTGAAAAGCAGTTAAATAAATTATTTACACTTACAAACAACTGATCAATGCAAAAGCCAGACAGAGGTCACTCCCTGGGCAAGGCTACATCTTTTCAAACTGCCAGCCTCATACAAAAAAACCAACAACATCCCATTTCTCTGCCCATGGCCATAATCCAGCAAGGCACTTAGGGGCTCCAGGACTGTAGCTCAGTGGCAGAATATATACTTTGCATGCAAAAGGTCTCAGGTTGAATCCCTGGCAGCTCCAGGTAGGGTTCTGAAAGTCTCCTGTCTGAAACCCCAGAGAGCCATTGCTAGTCAATGTAGACAACACTAGATGAGCCAGTGCTCTGACTTACAATAAGGCAGTTTCCTGTGACCATTAACATCAAATAAGTAACTTTAGAGCTAGCACTGCCACCTGTTTTGCAAGGCAGGGGATTCTTTTAACAGTAATGCCAGTTCAGCAGCAGAGATCTTATCACGCTAGGAAAAGGTTGTACCGACTTGCTTTCCGTCTAACAAGCCACAACAATGAACAGAGAGCTTTTGCTGGGAAAAGGAGGTACTGTACCTCGTATGAAAAAACGTATTTCCCGTTGACTGCCCGCTCTTCACATTTTAGAGCTGTAATGAAATTTAAGATTCTCCCTAAAGCAGCAACAGGGAACCTGGGGCCCTCAAGGTGTTATCTAATTCCTATCATCCCTGACCATCTGATGAAAGGTGGAGTTCAACAACATCTAGAGCAGGCATGGCCAGACTCGGCCCTCCAGATGTTTTGGGACTACAACTCCCATCATTCCTAGCTAACAGGACCAGTGGTCAGGGATAATGGGAATTGTAGTCTCAAAACATCTGGAGGGCCGAGTTTGCCTATGCCTGATCTAGAGGGCCACAGGTTCTCCATCCTAGCCCTAGGGATAGACAGCAGGCATATGCTCTTGCTTCTTGAATTGCTGAGATGAAGTTTGGATTTCACAATTCCCCATCTCTCGTGCCAGTGAATTTGGTTTTTGGCTTTTTCTTTCCCTGGGGAAATTCTGCAATCATATGCAATTCTGCAGTCGAATTATTTGTTCACATACAGGTTTTATTGATGCAGTTGCTTGTCCAATGTTAGAGGCTCCAAAACCAGTATGACCAGTCCTATTTATGATGAATAGAATGTTTAGTTTACATATGGGAAAAAGCACAGGTTCAAATCTCTCCTTACCTATGAAGCTCAATGGATAACCTTATGCCTATTTCATGGGGTGGTGGTGCTTCTGACCCTGGGGCCAGACTCTCTTACTTCGGGGGGAAAGGCTGTAGATTTGGAGAGGTGATTTTTCTAATGGTCAGCCCCCATTGTACATACAAACTAGAATCACCAAAATGATTCTCCTTCCCCTCCCAAGGTGGTTTCATTGCCCTTGTTGGACTCTGAAGACTCTAGCTCAGAAGCTCTATACAGCGGTTACCAACCTTTATGAATACATGGACCCCTGTTTTACCACAGGTTTTTTTCCAGACTTCCCACATGCTAACTGTTGTATTTTTAAGCTTTCTTAATGGAGAAAATACCTTAACAACAAAAAACTATTATGAACGTAGCAGGGTGTCAACCCAACAAGTTTCAAATGCTGATCTGCACATTCACTTGCTCTCTCTCTCTCTCTGTTCCCAAATGACCAATTATGATATTGCTGCATGGCACCCCAATTTCAAAGCAGTGTGAGATTCCAGGGGATCCAGTTGTGTACCCAGGGTTTGGTTTCCTCAGAATGAGGGACAGTGGAGACTGTGCTGTCCTTATGATATATGGTTTATTTACACATATATCCAACCTGAGCGTACAGTGGAGGGACTCACAACATTAACACCCTAATAAGGTCTTGCTACTTCCATAACCACAGCCTTGGATTCTTGCAGAAAATCAGGCATGGCTCTGTCTCCCAGCTGCCCAGCCTGCAATCTACTTCTGGCTTCTAGCTCATGCGCACAATCCTCCTCTAGATTTTGTGTTTCTAACAGACAGTTGAGGCTACTTTGTTACCTTAAGGCCCCATACTTAGGCCATTACCAAGAAACTTGTCTGGCTATTCCAGCAATCGGACCCTTGTTGGACCTAGGAATTAGAAGGGATTCAGGCATACAGTCAACCCCCCTCTACCAAAAAACCCCATCATAACGCTATTCACAGGGCCTATCTTCTACAGGTAGCCACTGTGAATAGTGTTGCGAAGTTTTGTTCTGTTTTTGTATGGGTTGGGTATTAGGGGAGTGTTAGGGGAGAAGTAGGACACATCATGCTATCTCTGCTGACCACCCATCCCACCTGGAGGCAATGAAGCCAGTGTTTCCCTCAACAAATCATAAGCAAGCAGGTGAAACATCAGATAGTCAGGTCCCAGGCTTTATATGGCAAAGTATCCTTAACTACTGTGTGGGACTGTACCTAGAAGCAAACTGATAGCCAGTGCAGAACTGTAATCAATGGTGAAATATATGCAGTTCAGTGTTGCAGTTAACAGCCCAGCTGTTTTATTTTTTTCCAGTTGGTTACTGAAAAGTCTTCATTGGCAGCCACACAAATAATTCATTATACTAGTCAAGTCTGAATATTAACAGGGCATGGATAACTGTGGCTGAAATGTGCTTCACTAGGAAGCTGGTGATGCACCAACTCATTGGCTGCAGGTCCGAGAAGCCACACACACCCTAATTTGGTTGTCCATCTGCAAGACTGGAACTAAATACAACCCCACATTGCTCTTTCAGGGGGAATGCAACATCTTCTAGTGATTTGAGGGCCAAGTGCATTTGCAGCACCTCTGCCTTGTCCAGATTGCATGGTTCGCAAGTTCTTCCTGATGTTCCACCTTGCCTTTGTCCCTCTGCGCAATTTCAGTGCAGCTGGAAGCAGCAGGCAAAGAGTATAATTTAGTACAGGAATTATTCTGAAGCAGCTCCATGCCTGTTCTATACAAAAAAAGATGAAGCTGCACAATCGCAGCTACAGAATCAGTATCCATAGATTTAAAAACACTGGGTTTGTTTTTTAACTACTTAACCTCTTACTGAAACAAAGGTGACATTAATGTTCCATAATTGTAACAGTGGGATATGTTACACTAGGGAACTATTGTAAAAAAAATAATCAAAAATCAAATCTCATTGCTTAAAGTTAAAACATTTCATGTTTCCCTTTTTTTCTGCCATTGTTTTAAAACATGTCCTACTATTTCCAAAGAGTGCTATAACCGCAAAGGGTAGTGTCAAGAGTGACCAGATGCGAAAAGCTTCCACCCTTAATAGTTGTGTAGGAGAAGGCATTTCAGCAAGTGCAATTTGTCATGTAAGCTACAACTGCTGAAATTCTTCCTTCTACAAATCTATTAAAGGTGTTAGAAGCCCCATCAAGTTTTCTATCTGGCCACCCTGAGAAAACAGGGAAGTGACAAGCACAGGGCATGAGTTAGAAAGAAGAACCTATCGCCTGAGTTACAAAAGGCTCCAAAATTTGCAATCAGAATATTTGATTCCCTATCGTTCCCTTTACCCGAAAGAACCTTGGAGCTGTAGTTTTGTAATTTATTATTTGAACTATTTTTAAACAATCTCTACATCAAGTTGAAGTTCTTTAAATTGGACTTGAACATGACAGCCCATCATTTTGATTGATTTAACAACATCTTGGCTGTCTCTTACTGCAGACCTAGGTCACTGAGCCTGAGCTCCTACAGCCACAGCCTGCCGTGAACCACCATTGACAGGACTGGCAGCGACAGCAGCAGCAATGTTCTATGCTTATGATGCTATCTTACTCTCTTGCTAATTATACTGCTTTAAATATGCTCTTTATATTTAACTTCCTTTAGTAATATTTTCTTTTGAAATGTTTTAAGATAATATTTTTATTTCTTGCTAATTACGTTGCTTTGAATATATATTTGTCTTTCTTCAGTAATGTTTTATTCTTGATTGTTTAAAAGGTAAAGGTAAAGGGACCTCTGACCATTAGGTCCAATCGTGGCTGACTCTGGGGTTGCAGCACTCATCTCTCATTATTGGCCGAGGGAGCCGGCGTACAGCTTCCGGGTCATGTGGCCAGCATGACTAAGCCGCTTCTGGTGAACCAAAGCAGCGCACGGAAACGCCATTTACCTTCCCGCCGGAGCAGTACCTATTTATCTACTTGCACTTTGAAATGCTTTCAAGCTGCTAGGTTGGAAGGAGCTGGGACTGAACAACGGGAGCTCACCCCATCACGGGGATTCAAACTGCCGACCTTCCGATTGGCAAATCCTAGGCTCAGTGGTTTAACCCACAGCACCACCCGCGCCCCTCTCTTGATCGTTTTGATGTTTAAATGTGTTGTAAACTGCTTTGAGATTTTTTCCCTTTAAAATACAAAGCAGTATGGAAATGAATTAAATAATAATAATATTCTACAATTACCGTTCAATACAGTGTTCCACACTTCCAAACCTAGAAGCAAGGCAAGCTATGGATTTGAATAAATAAAAATCTGCCTTCTCATGGGTGTAGCTAGGATTTTTGTTGGGGGGAGCAAGACTTTGTTTGGGGGCAGGACCAATGTAATTGGTCAGTTAGTTAAGTATTTCTATTGTTTTACTTGATCTACGGGGGGGGGGAGTTGCCCCTCTGGGCCCCCCAGCTACGCCCATGTGCCTTCTTCTTCCTTCAAAATCCACCTTTTCGTCCAATGGATTTTGTCATAGCTGAAAAATACTTCCCTCTTCTAAAGCCAGCATGAAGCTCTCAGCAACAAAACCTGAATTACATTTTGACCACTACTTACAAAGCAAAATGAACAGTCAGAAGTAGGCACTCTTCGATGTCAAGGCTGCAGTGCTGGGGATTTGCTCAAAAACTGGTCACATACAAAAGCATGCACTTAAACAGGTGTTTGTGGGATTATCAAACCCAGTGAATGCACCAATCAACTACAGAGACAAAGAGAAGCCCAAATTTTAAGTGCTACCTTTGGCCACAGAATAGGACAAACAAGAAGGGTATTCTACATGAGAATATATAGTTGAAGGTGTAAACACTACACTCAGCTGTGAAATATGTAATGAAAAATCTGCTCCAAAATGCATGATGGAACAAATCCATCTCAATGACCTTGATCTCCTAGGCAGGAAGGCTTTAATGGCAACAATAACAGCCCTGTGAAAAAGAACATGCATTTCATCAGGACCCCCCCTCTCTCAGGAATCTAGATTGCTCAGCTCATTTTTTATATTCTGCTCCACATTC